TCAGCATGAAAGTGACCATGGACATTACTGGTCCAAAATTTATCCATGCTTATGGCCTTCCTTTTTTTTTTTTTTGAGTTTCTTTCTTTAATTGTCTTATCACATGATCATAATTAATTTTACTCCTCTTCATCTCTACCAACATGCTTTGCTGAAATGTAAAATTGTAATAAAGTTCATCCATCAATGTCTGATGACAGTATTTATTAGTGAAATAGTAGTAAGGGGTGAGATGACTTGTAGAATTTAATGTAGTTGTTTGTCTAGTTTAGATTTATAGCTCAGATTTTAACATTTTTTACAGAACTTGTCATTGCTTTTGTTCCACACTCTGCTGAGATGGGGATTTGCATCTGTTTAACTTGATAACTTGAAAGGATTTCACAGCTAAAGCAAAGTTTAAGATTTCTTTGATCACAGGCTTATTTTTTTTAAGCCACCAGAACCTCTTGATGCAGGGAGCGCATTTTGACCATTTGCATTTGAAATGTTTTTTTTCCAAGTTACATAAGTGAAGCAAAGAGGCTTCATGTACGAATAGAGTGACCACTTTGGGATTGAACACCATGAAATACCTCATTGATTTGTGTAAAAGGTGTTTTTTTTCGAACTAAAATAATAATAATAATAATAGATGACGTTTATTTAACGCTCAACTTTGATTAAAAAACATAGGCTCTGAGCGCTTTACAATACAGTACAATGTACAAAAATGACGTAAAACATTGTGTTCTGACAGAAATTCTCTCTAAATAGTCATCCTATTAATTTTAAAAAACATTTGGTGTCATCATTAAGTTCCAGATCTGAAGCATCCATGGAGACGATGCTTCGCCACCTATTTCTCTGCTCAAATTCTGTTAGAAAACCTATATTATCAAAGTCCATTTCTGTCTTCTATCCGTTTTCTAAATACTGGTTTCAGTGACTTAGTCAAATGTTTTTTTTTGTTGGAGTAATTTAAAAAAAAAATGCGATCTAATGTTGAATCTCCCAGACACCATTCCACCTGACTCTTCGCCTCTGGGATGTGCACATGCTGGAGGGGGACCTGGTCCTGGTGGCCATGGCTTACTGCATCATCAAAGTGCACAAACGTAAGTGAAACACCCAACTGGGATGATATTACACAATTTGGATATTACAGAGGGGGGTTTGGTGGCAGTTTAGGTTTAGTTTTTGAATGTCTTTTGTTTTGCTGAAATTACAAGCCCTGGGACACGACTTTTCAGTTCTCAATGAGTGTGTGTTTCATAATCTGCCAATTTTCTGAGGCAAACCTCTACTTAGTTCATATACCCTTCCTGTTGTTTGAGTAAATAAAGATTTAAGAAATTTGTGCTAGTGTCTAGGAGAGTGCCACTGGTTGGTAAGTCCTATTTTGTTTCTTTCCCTCTGGTTTATGAAAGCAGTAAATTGGCTGTTACTCTGTCAATGTGCTTTGTTGTTGCTGGAGAAAAAGTACCCTGCTTTAGTTACAGACTTTGTTTGATACACATGTATAAGCTCCTTTTTTGTGTGTGAGGAACAGGCAAGTTAAGGCTGTGTACCATAAAAATTCAAATTGGTTTGTGTATAAATCTGCTTTTGTTGCGTGTTAATTTGTACAGTTATGTTATTCATGATTATTTCTGACTTGGTAGAATACTTTGTTATTGAAGTTGTTTTCCCTGCCTCAGGTCGCATCATGAAAATGCAGATGGATGAGCTTCTAACATTCTTCCAGTCTTCCTTGGAGAAGGACTTTGTCTACGATGATGACACAGTTATTGAGCAGTTGCAAATTTGTATTGAGGAGCTGAAAAAGGCCAAGATGGCAAGTCCTCCCAAGGCCAAAGTCAATGAGAATCCTACCTTGCCTTTTGGCTTAGAGATCCAGCCAAGCGTGGAGCAGCTTATTGGCAAAAAGAGTGAGGAGACAGTTGATGAACACTTTCGTAAGAACGCCCCACGAACAGGAGGCAAAGCTGCCTATCTCAGGAGGAAGAATACAGGTGGAAGTATATCAGGGGCAAATAACCTACTTAGCACTCCAGAGCTCTCCCGGAGCCGAGGCGACTCTCGCTCTCTGCACTCTCGGTTGTCTCAGTACTCTATAGATGATAAGTCATCTTACTATGACACTGCCACAAACTCGCGAATCTCTCTGGCAGATTTCAGCGCAAGAACGTCAGCTCCGAGCTCCCGGACTTCGTTTGGAGAGAGCTCTGAGATGGGAAGCATGTCTGCTATTCACGCCCATGGCTTCACCTCCCCCATTGACCTGGATGATGTTGGAGTCGACATGGCTACGCCCACTACGCCTACCAACCCCCCTTTGCCTGCACAAGATTATGCCCCTTCCAACAGTCCTCCCCCAGTCATGTCACAATCCTACGAGATGGCGAGACCATCATCTCACTCCCAAGCTCATCAGCAGACTGCTGTTATCCGGTCGTCTGCTTCGTACGAACTGCCTCCTCAGGCCAATGTCATTTCCCGGCTAGAACACTCTCCTCGCCAGGTGGTGTCCTCGTACGAACATACTCCACAGCCAAGGCCTCCCCCTGCTCGTGATTCACAAAGAACTAACTCGGCCGTGTTGGCCTCGCGTGATGGCGGGACCAGATGGTCTGGCCTCAGTCACGACCATCACCAACGCATGCGCAACACACGTTCGTACGAAATGGACTCTGGTTCCTCTTTCCCTCCTCCTCCTCCTCCTCCTCCTCCTCCCCCTGCTGAAGAAGTGGAGATGCACACACCACGGCAGTCAGCCTCATTCGAACAAGATCAACAACGCACTTCTCGCACGTCTTCATCCTCTCCGTACGAACAGGCTGTTTCCAGGCAGTCCCCGTCTCCTGGTCACAGCTTTTCTCCCATGATCCTCCATGCATCGACTGCTGTAGAAGATCGCCCCCCTTCGGCTGTGACGGGAGAGGACAACGACTCTACGAAATCACCGGGGTCGGTGGCTTCAGATTACGACAACATCAACGGCATGTACGAGGACAGTCAGGAAGACGCTCGCAGCCCGAGCTTTATCCGAGGCGACGGGGTGACGGTCATCCCGGTCAGCAAGTCTGATGGCTTCGTCTCCTCAACTCAGGATTCGGAAATTATTATCCTGAATGGTCACGACGGTGCTATGACGGCTCAGATGAAAATGACGCGCACGGAAGGGGACATTCAGCGTGTCCTGCAGCAGGATCGGACAGACTCTCGCCACGTCGACTTTCACAACGGATACCAAATTGAGCAGCAGAACTCGTACCAGATGTCAGAGGCCACCACCTCACAGACTCGGACAATGTACAGCAGGGTTGTGGAAAAGACAGCTTTTTTATAGTTTTCTATGTGATTTTAGCATCTCTACTTGTGGTCTGTGACATCTTCTATTTCTGCTTGCCAGTATGTTTTTTTTCTTCTCAATTTCATGCTTGTCTGTGCAGAAACATATTCTTTACGACATGAATAGTAGGCACTTTGACTCACATTTGCTCATGATTCTTGTTTACTTTCTCGGTATGTTGTGTTCCAGAAAGGGAATGCTCAAATACGAGCTTTTGTTTTCACCAATGGAGGGTGACGGGAGACTAGTTGACTAGCCTACTTGAATCCCGTTTGAATCCTACAGTTGATCAAATTAAGATTAAACCATTTATCTGGACTAGGTTAAAATATTTTCCTTCATGGATAAGGGACTCAAGTTAATACCCCGTGTTCCCACTTTTGGACCATATTTTTCAAAGAAGAATGAGAGTAGATTGTGTTCCATATCTGGCACAAACATGTACGTGTGACTCAATCTTCAAGTACTATGTTTTACTATTGCTATTTTTCTTTTAAATCATTTGCAGATCTACATTGATATGTAATCAGCACAGAAAAAGATATGTAGTACTAGTTGTCCTTACACTTTTAGTGAAAAAACCCCCAAGCGTACTGGTTTTCCAAATTGAAGCCTGCTTTCAGAAGTGAACAGGCCATTAAGCATACCCAAAAATAGACGGTCTTTCAAGCATCCCTGATGATGTGTCTTTGTGCAATTTTTCTGTCATATGATTTCCGAATTCACTCATCTAGTGGGTGCCCATCGCTTGGGTAAACTGCACCACTAACAAGTATCACATCAAAGAGTGACTGAAGCTGGGTGGGAGGGTAGAGGTGGTGGCTGGGCAAGTGACCCTCATCACCCCCTCCTTCCATCCCTCCCTTCACTATCCCTCTCTCCCTCTCCCTCCTTCCTCCCCCCCTCTCTCTCTCTCTCTCTCTCTCTCTCTCTCTCTCTCTCTCTCTCTCTCTCTCTCTCTCTCTCTCTCTCTCTCTCTCTCTCCGATCGTGCTATGAAAGCTGGACAATCCTCTCTAGATATTTATTTTGTATGGGCAATAAATTCGGTATGTTTTTTCCTCTTGGTTAAAATAAAAATTAAAAAATATCATGTTGATATGCTATTAGCTATTGAAGAGGTCAGCCAATAATAACGTCTTATCACCTTATCTGATTTGGTTGTAGCATGTAGAGTTGTTGAGTTTTAGAAAATTTAACCAAAATAACAATAACTCTTGCCAAATGTTATCAAATATTTATATCGGCATCAATCCACAATCACCTAAACTGTCTTCTTTTTTTCCCCCCCCAATAAAGCCATCGTTCAAATAATGACATCAGGGCATTGTACAGTCTAAATTGTTCAAGAAGGCCACTCATTTTCAAATTGAAAAGTCGTTGTCGTCAACAGGTGGGTGTCTTGGGACAGTTCCGTTATTATTTAATCCTTATAGTATTTACAAAAAACAACAGGTTGGACGTAGTAGTTTTTACAGGTGATTGTCTTTGACATGTTTCAGTTAGAGCATGTTCATCTGTAGTTTTGTTTTGTTACATCCTTCCCATTTTTTAAATAGAAAGATCACAGCGCCCTTGTCATGATTTTTATTTTGGCTCTCTATTTTTCTTTAAATTTTCTCATAACTTGAAATAATTTTTTAGGTGCGAATGTAGTGATGTTGGCAACATTTTTGTCCTTTTAAACATATAACTCTTAAAGGGAACTTGACATCATGTATATGAAAAGTTCGACCCAAATGGATGGATTCAATACGTTCTCTCCCCCCCCCCCCCTCTGAAAACTTTTTGTCCCGAAATTCTGTCAATACTTCTCCCCTGGTAGTCGATACTGATAGCTGTTATTAAAATATCAGTTTCATTACCTTCTCTAACCGAAACGTTTTCCCTCTGTGTTATTATTGGGCTGACCTTCCAAATGGGCATGATGAGATACCAGTTGCATTTTCTATTTTGTTAAAGTATAACTGAGATGATTAAATCACCTGTCAGTTGAAGGTTTTTTTTATTTTTCTTCTTGTTTTCTACACTTGATAGATGAAGCCATTTGTGAACAAAAAAAATAAAGTGGTTTGGTAAATCAAATATGTACTTCAGAGCCGTTCTGAATGCTTTTGGTTCATTGCTACCAACTCTAGTCTAGAAAGTGGTGTACATGCAAACATGATTGAAGAGATGCTTTAAAATCTGCTTTTCTCCTGCTCATTCTCGTCTCTGTTACTCAAGTTTGGATCAAAATATGATGAACAACGCTCCTAATTGTAGTTTTCCCACAGTAAAAGGTAATATGTGTGGCCTATCATTACAAATTTAGCGGAATGGCTATGACTTAAACAATTTTTTTTCACAAATACAATCATAACTTCACCAATTTTGATTTTTAAAAAATCCTTTGCCATTCGGCTACCCCGTCCCATCCCCATCTTCACTGCTTTTGAAAAAGAAAAGCAACCAGATCCAGACAGTCTACGTCACCGAGTCCGGTGCATCTCTCTAACTTAAACCCTCTGTGCTCAGAGCTCATGCAGTCGCTCAGTTCCGCTTTGCCCTTTGAAAAATATTAGTTGTGCCAAGGCCTGTAATATGGCAAACTTTATTTTGAAATTCCTTTGCTGTGTTGTGGGTGATGGATTAGGCCATATGTGTCAAACTCGAGGCCCGGTGAACTATTTTATCTGGCTCACGGGAGAATTTTAGGTAGTGCATCCGGAAAAACATAATCCCCTGTCAATTTTATTTGGTCAGTTTCCTGCTGGATGGTAACTGGTCTTTCAAGCTGTAGTCAGCCATATTGGTAATACAAAATAGTGTTCATTTTATCTATTAAGACAGAGTTTAGCATTTTAAAATTTAGATTATGCTTTTATTTGCACCTCATTGTCATTGCAGCTAATATCAGACTTTGTGTTGTTCTGCTTCATGCGTTGGACTCTTTGCCTTTTCAATTGTCCACGTTCTTAATTGTTTTTCCTTGCACATCACGTTTTCATCTTTGTTGCGAAGTCACATCGTAGATCCCAGTTTTCCCATCCATGTGTACTGTTTAGCATTGTATTTACCCTCTGAATCCCACATATGAATAAACAGCACTCTGTTTGTTGAATGGTTTTTTCCTTGAACCGATCTGACGCTTATGCAAACTTGATGACCTCTTTGTTATTTGCCATGCACATTGTTATGTGAAGCAACATAAGTGACTAAGAGATTGAACTGTGGAAAAAGTATCTTTTCAGAGAGTGATTGCTATGAATATGAAATCAGTGAATATATGTGTTGATGGTTTGTTGCTTGTATTTGTGTCTGTATTGGATGTTTGTATGTTATTAATAAGCGTGGCATTGGTGTGCTTTGATTTTCTGGGAGTCGGCATATTTTCAGCTTTCTTTTCACTGGGTAATTGCTTCAGCTGGTAAGCAAGAATCTCTAAATGTGTAGCGAAAGGTCCCCCTTGACTTTTGTCATAGATCATGTGGACACAGGTTATTTAGGGATTTGCAAGTGATTAGAACTTCCTCTACAGAAGAAGATAAGTAGATTAACACAAATGTAACATTCTCCATACATTGGTTTTGCTTAGCTTGATTAGCTCTGGTTTATGTATTTGCTTAGGTTAGATTTCTTCAATTTGATTGTTTACTCTGAGAAAGCCAATGTGTTCTTACCCAACAACCACATCAGTATATATTATATGTATAGGCTCTACTGCTGTTTAATGCTTTAAAAGATAGCAAACACTTGATGGGAATATGTATAGCTGGCTTACTGTTTCTTGTCTCTTGTTAGTCAACTCAATGATTGTCTTCTATTAATTGTATGTCATTATTGATTGATACTCCTGTGGGCTTATATTTCATCAACTGTGCTCATGTTATTTCCTCAAACTGTTTACCTCTGTGCAGAGCTATACTTTAGTTGAAATTTAGAGAGAGGGAAATAGGTTTACAGGTTGTCTTTAATGTCTTGACACATGGAAATGTTTTATTTTCATGAAAGACACATTTAATTAAATGGGTAGCCCTCTAGTGGATGGATGCTCAGGTATGATTTACTCCTTCTTTCCTGTCAAACATCTATTGTCATTACCTCCTCCTTTTTTGTCTTGTATCATGCTCTCTAGGAACACCTTTAATCTTTGGCACTTTGATTACCTATTTGTGTTGCAAATGCTGTAAAACTCTTACTGAAACTTAAACGCTGTACATTGTTGAAATTTAGAGAGGAAAAAAAAAAGGTAGAGAAAGGGTGTCCTCAATGTCTTGACACATGGGTTGAAAAAAATTCATGCTTAATGTTCAACAACAACTTTTGGTAAAGGTCTGTTTAATCCCTCCATTCTTGAAATATTATGCTAAAGCATCTTTTGATCATGAATGTCACGGCAACCCATATGTGGCCGCAAAGAGAAGAAAAACCTCTGATATGCATAGTAGGTCAAGAAAGCTTCCAACAGAGTGTTCAAGAAGACATGAACCATCATTATTCAACAAGAATATTAACAAATGATGTGGTCAGTATGATTTCCCCCATTTGTGTTGCTTTGGTTGATTCACTTTACAGATTTGTGCGAACCAGATGCAATAACGGCAGGCTGCCGTCATTAAAAGTTAATGAGATTACCGTTGTGTCAGGACTTTTGAGACCCCCTGTAGTATTGGTGAAGTGGTGTGTGCTTCCTTTTTTATTCTTTACTTTCTTTTCTTCTTTTTTTTTTGTTGCCTGTTGTTTACATCTGTCTAATTAACTTTTTTGTTGCACTAAATGACTTATTGTGTTGATGCGCATCTGCTTATTCTTCTTCCTCCTAACTCATATTTTACCTGTTTGAACTATGGGATGGGGAAAAGGTTTCAGCATGTCACGTTGACTAGCAAAAGTAGCCTTCTCTAGCAGTGACATCTAAATGATGGCATGATTTTTTAAAAGCGACAAATAAACTTTAGGACATATTGTATTCCTTATTAGAAATAAATTTGTGTTTTGTCAAGTCAGAGTAGATGATGTTTTGTTACACTGTACTTGAGCTAACATTAGCTTTCACGGAACACAGCCAAAACATAATTCCTACCTGTACAACTGTATTTTATTTTATTTAGTGTAATCTATCTATAATAGAAGTATAATAGTGTCTTGTTCTTTTGCTCAGGACAGGAGTTTCAGTTGCGTATTTGTATTGAATACTTCCTCATTGCTTCTTGATTTCAAGTCAGGTGTTGAGCCCTCTGTTGTGAAGAAGTCTGGACACAGTTCGTTTCCTTTGTTCCAATTTTACTTTTTGTCCTCGGACCCTTTGTTTTCCTCTCAACTGTAGCAGTAGTTGTGGCGTGGCGTGGCCATCTTACCTCCTTGTCTGCTAAAAAAACCATCTGTGGGGAAAGTTTTAAGTTTTTAGTGATGTCTGAGCTGATTGGTCTGCTTTCTGTGTGTGTGAGTGTGAGTGGGAATGTGTGCGCACCCACAATTTGAAATGGTGAATTTGAGGTTGGCTGCAGATTTGTCACATTTGTCTTGTCTTTTGAGCTATGTGCAATACTGTGTTTGATGAGACTTGAGTAATTTATATTGCTTCTTCCTTGTGTTTGTGGAACTCAGTTATGTACATAAAAGGTTTGCTATGGTAAACTTGTAAGGGTTGATTAATTAAA